TATATATTTTATATTATCTGGACTATAATACTTCGATAATATTTTATGTAAAATGTGCAACAGTAAAGAATTAATACGTATTCTCTAAAATATTACAAAAAAAAAAAAATGCGATTTTCCCGAAATCCGCCGAGTTCAAATCGCAGGTACAGCTAAACTGTGGGAAATATTGATCTAATATTTTTACCGTTTAATAGCCTTACCTATTGAAAGTTAAAAAAAAATGAAATTGGAGAATTGAAACGGCCGTTGAAAAAAATGAAACTTTTTTGAAAGGGCAAAAAATAATATTCGAGTAATTATAGATATATTTTAAGTAACAAAATGATTTTTTAGAATATATCCCAAAAAAGTAAATTTTTTTGTCACATTTCGAATTTATGTGCTGTGAGACACGTTAATGGCCTGGGGAATTTGCAATAACTTTTAAAGTTTTCAAGCAATTTTTGTGTTTTATATCTTTCCGAAATGTTTACTCTGTGCACATTACGATTCCTTTACAATAAAGTACACAATTTATTACTAAATGGCCAAATTTGAGCAATATTTCCCCTGCGGCACCTGTTAACGTTATTCAATCAGCCTTAATTTTTGTATGACATGGTTTTACAACCCATAGAATAATTCTATAGTGGGGGACGGCCTGTCAGACAATTTTTTTTCCTTCATACAAGCTTGAATCACTCTAATGAACAGAAATCATAATATCAACGCAGATCTTAGTCGGTCCACAATTGGTCACACCTCCCATATAAGGTCCACTTCCGTAAATGACCTAAACGCACATATTTCATTGAAAAATAAAGCTATTGTGATAAAATTCAAGTTGAATATGTTTCGTGTACATACAAATCATTCTACAAAATTTTTTATGGATCGGTCCATTATTGGTCATAGCTCCTATATAAGGCCCACTTCCGAAAATCGTTTAAAAGAACATATTTCATTGTCAAATAAAGCTATCTCGATAAAATTCGACACAAATATGTTTTGTCAAAACATGAATCACTTTACGAAATTTTTTCCGGATAGGACCATAATTGGTCACAGCTCCCATATAAGGTCCACTTCCGAAAATCACTTAAATGCGTATATTTCATTGAATTCTAAAGCCATTGAGATAAAATTCGACTTAAATATGTACGTACAAATCATTCTACAAAATTTTTTACGGATCGGTCCATTATTGGTCATAGCTCCCATATAAGGCCCACTTCCGAAAATCACTTAAAAGCACATATTTCATTGTCAAATAAAGCTATCTTGATAAAATTCGACACAAATATTTATTTTTTTATTTATTTAAAGTATAATATAATATTATTTTTTATAAAATACAAATTATTGAATAGTGTGGGCTACTAGGCCATTACACCCCAGCAAAATATTTGCTTACAAATTCACTAGAAAAATCACCAGAATTCATTGAGTAAAGTGCTTACAATTCTACTAGAAAAAGTACTTATTTTTGTTTGAGATGTTCCAAAAGTAAGTCAATATTATTTGGTTGGAAATAAGTTGTTTTTTTAGTAGAGTTATTTATAGAATATTTAAGAAAAAATAAAAATAAAAAGTCGACACAGACTGGGGTTGAACTCAATACCTTCCGTCTGCCAGTTGGATGCTCCACTCACTACACCACTGCTTAGCTGTTTTATTGTGCGTCAAATAATTTTCACACACAAATACTATTTTATTTTCTGTTTGTCTAAAAATAGATATTTGATATCGTGTGCACAAAAAAAGGAAAAAAAGAAAAAGTAACTGTTTTATGTTTGTTTGTTTCTTTATTTTGATTTTTTTTAGACTTTACATACAAAGTAAGTCATTAATAAAGTACTTAATGGTAATCATTGTAAGCAAAGATTTTGCTGGGACTAGTCGACACAAATATGTTTTGTCTAAACCTGAATCACTCTACCAAATCTTTTCCGGATAGGCCCATAATTGGTCATAGCTCATAGCTCCGAAAATTGCTTAAACGCATATATTTCATTGAATTCTAAAGCTATAGGCATAAAATTCGACTTGAATATGTTTTGTGTACGTACAAAATTTTTTACGGATCGGTCCATAATTGGTCATAGCTCCCATATAAGGCCCCTTTACGAAAATCACTTAAAAGCACATATTTCATTATCAAATAAAGCTGTCTTGGTAAAATTCGACACAAACATGTTTTGTCTAAATATGAATAACTCTGCGAAATTTTTCGCGAATAGGCCCATAATTGGTCATAGCTCCCATATAAGGTCTACTTCCGAAAATCACATAAACGCATATATTTCATTGAATTCTAAAGATATACGTATAAAATTCGTCTTGGATATGTTTTGTGTACATATAAATCATTCTACCTCTTTTTTCCCCAATCGGTCCATTATTGATCATAGTTCCCGTATAAGGATCTCTTCTGAAAATCACTTAAACGCACATATTTCATTGTCAAATAAAGTTATCTTGAGAAAATTCGACTTAAATATGTTTTGTCTTTATATGAATCACTCTATTTTTTCCGGATAGGCTCCCAAATAAGGTCCACGTACGAAAATCACTTAAATCTTCTTTGAATAATAAAGCTATCGGGATAAAGTACGACTTGAATATGTTTTGTGAGCATATAAATCATTCTACCAAATTTTTCTGGATCGGTCCATATTTGGTAATAGTTCCTATATAAGGTCCACTTCAAAAAATCCCTTAAACGCACATATTTCATTATCAAATAAAGATATCTTGATAACATATGTTTTGTGTACATATGAATCACTCTACGAAATTTTTCCGCATAGGCCCTTAATTGCTCATAGCTCCTATATAAAGTCCACTTCCCAAAATCACCTAAACGCGCATATTTTATTAATTAATAAAGCTATTGGAGTAAAATAAGACTTGATTTTTTTTGCATATTAATCATTATACGAAATTGTTTCCTGGTCGGTCCATAGTTGGTCACAACTCCCTTATAAGGATCATTTCCGAAAATTACTTAACGCACATTGACAATCAAAGTTATAGGTATAAAATTTGATATAAATGTGTATTTTGTATATATTTGTATATATTTTGTATATATATATATATATATATATATATATATATATATATATATATATATATATATATATACATAAATCATTATACGGAATTTTTTTCCGGACCGGTCCATAAGTTGTCGCAGCTCCCATATAAGGTTAACTTCTGAAAATCACTTAATACCACTTTATTCGTTATTAAATGATTATATCCGGATAAAATTCGACATGAGTATGTTCTGTGTATAAATAAATCATTCTATTAAAATGTTTTCTATCTGCCCTATTAATATACATTTTTCTGCACCTAATCAAAATTAGTTCAACAAAAATGTTGGTAAGTTATCTAAAAATTAGATAGTTAAATAATAAAAAGTAGCTTGCTTAGAACCAAAATTTGTAGTTTAAACAAAACAAAATTTTCTCGGGATTTACAAATTTCACATCTTTTTATTTTCGAAAAAAAAAAATTGCAAATCACTACATCGGTGGTTCACCGTACCTCAACTATTCTACCACAATGGGATTGGAATATTAATAGAATTCGGCAATGAAAAAGAGATGTCCTGTAGACTTCATCTGTGATACTTTGAGGACTGGATAAATAAACAAAATCAAACAGAAAGTCAGAAAAAATCTCATAATTTTTCAATTTTAATGCATTTACCCTGCACAAATTATTGGAGTACGTGATCCATTTATGTAATCCTAAAATTACTCCCCTACAAACATTATAAGAGTACACGATCCATGCATTTAATAGGATAATAATGTGAATCGAGTACTCCCATAATTTTAGCAAGGGACTACCCTAATGTCGCACATGACAAAGTTAAATTAAATAGAGCATGTATTTTCTTACATTTGGACTAGTTTTAGATCAATCCTTTAACTCTCTCACGAATACGGGACACCGGCGTCCCAAGATTTTTTTAATTTTTCTCGATTTTGAGCGTAAGTTTGAGTTCACAGCTACAGTAAATGGTTATTTCCAAAGAAAAATAAGTTAATTTTTAGAATTTAATGTCACTACATGCTAAAAAGGATAATATCCTGCGATATCTTTCGAAAAAACTTTTTCCATTTTTCGTCAAAAATGATCAATATACGTCAAAATAAAATGTGTGGTGAAGTCATATCCATTAAAAGTCCAGCGGTTTATTTTTGTGCGTGAAAGGGTTAAAGAGCACAGGTACTCGGGAACAAACTAAATATTGATTTATTTTATAATACAATCATATTTGTATCATTTAATACTTATTTTTCACACAATTAAAAAAAAATTCTTTTATTAAAATTTAGAATTTATTTTAACATTTTTATAATTTGACACTATATTCTTGTTAATATTTCCAAACGAAAATTTTGGTAACTTAAAATATAGAATACAAAAGTTATTAATTCAAACGATATTTTTCGTAATTTAACGATATCGATAGGAAAGTTCAAAAAGTTACAGAATTGTGATAAACATTTGTTATATCCATATATGTATACATTTCATTTTCTTAGAAGTTCGTTTTTATTGTAAAAAAAATAAAAATAAATAAAATAAATAAAATAAAATTAGAATAGCCGAATCAACGATTTTGTCATCCTAATTGTACGCAACACTAACACATAAATGACAGCCAAATTGAACAGTGTTGCCAAGTTAAACAAAAAACAGAACAATAGTTAATGAAGATTTATTGTTTGTTTATGAATATCGTAATTTCATTAATGGTTTTTAAGACTAAAGGGTGCTTCAACTATTGTATTAAATCAAAATAAGAATTTTTTTATGAATACAAGCGCTAGGCTTTGACAATTCATTTTGAAAATTTTCCAACCTGTATTTTAAACAGTTAATATTAAAGTTTTTGTTAAAAAAATGTTTGATCATTTTAGTGTTGCGCAGTGTAATATATGAACTTGCAATATAATATATAAAAAATAATAACATATTTACATTTATTTTTTTAGTTCAACTCCGAAACTAAACTTCAGAACGCTGCTTTATACGTTGTAAATATTGTAATGCAATGTAGCGACGGTTGGTTTATAAATGCATACACGGACAACTGTTACAAAACTATTTTTAAACGTTTAGATGAGTTATATAAATCCCTCTCTGTTATAAAACCACAGAGTGATTATGTTTGTAGAATTTTAAAAGAAATTGTTATTAAATGTAATAAAATGTACCCTGAAGTTTTTAACTAGTTTTAATAAATATATGTTTATTATATTAACTAACACATCAGAAAAAACAAACTAATTGACTTTTAATTGCGGTAAGTACAATATTGATACATGCATATATTTTTTGTATGTTGATCATATGATTGTATATTGATCTCATACCCACTTTAAAGCATACTGCTTATAATCAATTATTTTAAACCAAACCTTTACATACTTATTTCTTTTAAATATATATGGTTAAATCCAAAACATTTTTTTAAAATCAATGAAACTGAATTATATCCACAAGTATTTCCTTTCCCTTTGGACACTTTGACTGAAAGGTTTCGCGAATTCGATATTTTAAATGTTTTTAGATTTAAAAACTACGAGAAGACAAATTTAAAATTTCTCAAAAAACGCTTGTCAACAAGCGGTCGCAAACAGGCGTAGTGTGACAATTTTTCTTAAAAATTAAACAAAAACAAATATAGATCAACTTATTACCAATAACAAACATTGATTTCAAAACAAAACATTGAATATCCAAAAACAATTACAGTGCAAGAATGCACATAAAAATTATTGCATTCTTTTGTATAAAAACAACATTGCTATATCGCGATGGTAAACTTGAGAGAAGACAGCAGAAGCAGCAAACATAAGTAATAATAATGCAAATAATAACAACAATGCTGAACCTAGTATTTGGCAAAGTATAACAACAAAAAGAAAACGAGTAGAATCTCATAGAAATACTAAAAGAATAACCTACATGACATGCCCACATCATCCAACAACAATAGATACTCAGACCTTGATACTAAAGGCGAAGAAGAAGATGAAAAATCATAAAATAACACCAAAACCTCCAGCTATTTACATTCCAAATGTAGAAACCATACTTCTTATTATTATGAAAATAAGTGAAAGTCAGGTTCGATTGATGATAGAATCGATTGATTCTTATATGAAAGTCATCAAATATTTAGATAGTTCTAACATTAGTTTCCACACATATCAAATAAAGCAAGAAAGATCTTATACATAGAGTTATTGTAAAAGGACTCCACCCAACTACTCCTACAGAGAATATTAAAGCCGAACTTATTGTTATGGCCCATTCTGTTAGATCTGTAACAAATGTAAAGAGTTGAGTTACAAAAGAACCGCTTCAATGTTTTTTGTGGACTTAGATCCTCAATTAAATAAAACCACGTTTCATCAGCCAAACCAAAGTAGTTTCAACATATCATATTCAGAAGCAGTCAAATCTCTCAATACAAGTGAAATCATTCGTATGGATCGACTTGAAAAATTATGGAAAATTTAACGAATATGATGTCAATGTTATTCTCAAAATTTTAGAAATAAATTTAATGATACACAATGGGGCAGAATCGAAATTTTTTGGAAATAAATCTGGCATTTCTAAACGGCTGATCCGATCGGTATAAAATTTGGCGTGAGCGTAGCCAAGGAGTATTCGAGTTTAAGTTTTGAAGATGAACCCCGCAGATGCCCCAGGGACGGCGCTGTGGCGGCTCAAAGTAGGGTACCTACGACATGTAAAATTTTTTTTTTTTCACCCAAATACAAAGATTTTTATATTTTCTGAAAGCGCTTGACGAGATCTTGAAAAAAACATGCTTGGACATACTACTTATCTCTTATAATATCCGAGTTATAGGCATTTAAAAATTTAGTGATACAAAATTTACCATACCTTGGTCCGCCTTTTTTTTTAATAACGGGCGTAATTTTGGACCAAATGGACTCAATTTTTTCTTCCAAAAATATACGTCTTTTAATTTAAAAATTCAACAAATTTTAGATTTTTGCCGTTTTTTGCCAAAAATGTGTCTTAACTCTTTTATTAATAAAATAAATTTTTCTTTAAGAATATATAACAATTTTATAGTTTTCTAAAAGGTATCTTTACGCAGAACGCTTTGGCGTAAAAAACTTGTCTTATTTTTTGAAAATGTTGCCACTGCGTCCTTCCGAATATGACCTATTTTTTATCAAAACTTTAACTTTGGGCGACATGTTCTAAAATCCCAAAGCTGGGATCAGAAAACTGAAAGCAGTTTTAGAAACCTCAATATGTTTTCTATTTACTCCAAAAGTATTTTCCCAGCCCTGAAAGAAATGTGGACCCTATGGGCAAAAAAGTAAAAAATCCCATTTTTGGGATTTTCATTCCTATTTTTGGGAATTGCGGGATGCCCTTTGACCTTTTCAATTTTTTTTTGCATTTTCTTATTTGAAATGACAAATTTAACAAGCGTTGAAAATTTCATTGAGTTTTGTTCATAAATAAAGATTTTGTCATATATTACATATTTGTTTAATTTCTAAAACTATGATTTATATCAAAATTTTAATATTGTCGCAGATAGCTACAACAATTTAGTCCTTAATATCATTTTTTAGTTAGATATGGAAATTCTCGACCTTTTACAAAAAATTTCAAGCCAATATCTAAATTACATTCAAAAATATGTTCATTTAAACCTGTGTCCTTTAATTTCATCTTTTTCATATTTTAGTATTAAGTATGACAGAACATATGTACATTTGGTGTTGAATAAAATATTTGGACAATTTTTAAAAATTATTTAGTTAATTATTTTATTAAAGACTATAACATTGTATATACAATAAAAAAATTATAATTTTATTATGAGCCACGCACAACAACACCTAAATCACCCCACACAAACCACCTTTCCCGCCCACCGAAATATAAAACACAATTTAATACAATATCATCAGTTAGTATAATAGCTTTTTTTATTTGAACTGTTTATCTTAAACATAATACAATTAATTCTTACAACCTACTTATATAGTTAATTCCTAACACTACTTATTTTCTATAAAATAATCTGTCATATCGGTATACATATCCAGAAGGTAATATAAGTCCTTTAAATCTTCCTTGTTTTGAGATGATAGAACATGCTTAAAATCTCGATTGCTCGCTTCCTGGGCTTCTTCTGTTGACTCTCCAAGTGGAAGAATATTCGATTCAATTACTATTTGACCATGACACAATACTTTGCATGATAAAAATATGAAGGTAGTGCCATTTCTCTCTCTCAAAAATTTTTTTGAAGTTTACTGGTATTTTATGAAATTTGTATTTTGTAAATAAATAGAAAAATCGTTGCCACATATGAACAAGTAAGAAAGTATAGTCGGGCGAGGCCGACCATATGATACCCTACACCAGTTATGAATATTAAATGTGATTTATTTTTCATAGTAAAGCATTTATTTTCAATATTCCCTTGTTCCGATACATTTAAGCAATTTATGGATGAAAAACTAATTTTCTGAAAGAGGCTTTATATGGGGGCTAGGGGCAAATATGGACCAAGCCCGATAAAATTTTGTGAATATATTTATATTTACATAATATTTTATTGTGCTAAATTTCATCGCGATATTTGTGTTTATAAGTTAATTTGGGACATAAAAGTAATTTTCTGAAGGGGACTTTGTATGGGAGCTAGGGTCAAATGGGGCCCGATCTTTATGAAATTTGGCAGGGTCATCAAGACTTCTATAAAACTTAGTTGTGCCGTATTTTATCGATATATCTGTATATTTAACATAATTATGAGCTCAGAAGCCCTTTTCGGGGGGTTCTGTTCTATGGGGGCTAGGTGAAATAATGGACCGATTTTAACCATTTTCAATAGGCTTCGTCCTTGGGTCAAATAAAACGTGCATGCCAAATTTCATCCAATTAATTGAATTGCGACCTGTACCTTGCGCACAAGGTTTACATGGACAGCCAGCCAGCCAGACGGACGGACGGACATAGCTTAATCGACTCAGAAAACGATTCTAAGCCGATTGGTATACTTTAAGGTGGGTCTAGGACGAATATTTTTGTATGTTACAAACATCAGCACAAATCCAATATACCCTCCCCACTAAAGTGGTGTAGGGTATAAAAAGGGGGAAACTAGGTTTTAAGAAATTTGTGATTTAAAAATTTATTGTTTTAGTTAGTTTTTTAAATTGTATACAATGTAGGTTATCCTTTAGACTTGTTTTTATGCTAAGTATAATTGTGTCCTTAACAATGCAGTAATCAATAAAACTGATTTTTTTAAGGTAGGGATGCTGTTCGTTTTTGACAACTCTGAAGTAGATTTAGCCTTATTTTTAGAAGCAGTAAAAATTTGATATTTGTATGTCAAAAATAAACCACATTCTTCCAATGACACCCTTTTTTAAAAATCATTGGTTTTTCACCAGTGACCTTTCTACATCATTTTCTCATTATTATCTAGGTTTATATCTAAGGCTCATAAATGCGGAAAATATGTAATCGCATTTTTAGGTGTGATTAAGATTTCGTTTGTAAAGTATGATTTCCATTTATTGCTGGGTATGAATTTACACAAAACAAACATTAGCCTTTAATATTAAGGGGAACAGCCAAAAAGTGGAATAAGCATTCTTGCCCTAACCCCAATAATGGTGTCAATATTAGACAAGAAGCTGGAAGCAAAGTAGCCAAAATATTTCATTACTCGTTTTTTTTATTTGAAGAAAACCCTGTATTCTTGGACCGAATGGAACACATATTGCACACGTTATTGATACGGACAGCAAATTCTGGTCTGCCATATACCTACATATATGTTGGAAGATAAATTTTAGATGTAACAAGATATAAACTACTATTTATAAAAAAAAAACGTTTTTACATATATCGGTTTTATTTGGTTTCTTCTGTTAATCCTTTCTCCAACTTGAAGAACATGGGAAGCAACAGACAATGTTATCGTGAGTCTCCATAGTGTCGATCCATTTGATATTGGGCATAAGAGGAAGCATATAGTTTTGATTATTAATTTTCCTTATAAAGCTGTTTTCTTTTTGGCGATTTTATTTAAATTTGTATTGTAAAATTTAAAAAAAATTTTGTTTGATTTTCAGTTTAAATTGATTTTTATTTTATTTATTTTGATTGAAAAAAAAAAAATGGATTTTTTAAATAAATGTGGTAGCTCGATTTATTAAAATACCAGCAAACGTCAGAAGGTTAATATG